TGTTGTTAGGATGTACATAATATGTGCTCAGTTCAAGTCTTGATTGTCAAACTACTGTAATTATCGCTTGTCACTCGTTATACTGCCGGCTTCTGAGCTGTGCTGTTCACGGGGCTATCACGTGATCGAGGGGGGGGTGTCTTCACCTCCCTTGAAGTATTCAGTCTGCTCTAGACTCGCTTGGTGGTTGGACAGATTGTCTGTCTCATTATTCTTGCTAGTTCTGTAGAACTCTGTTCACAGAACATTGTATAGACTTCGTGATTTTCGACGTTGTACTGAGGTTGTGTGTCGCTTAGACACTCTGAACATCTTAGGTCCTTAGCTATAGCTTCTGACCTAATTTTGTACTGGTTTCTGTGTATTGTCACAGTCAGGGTTTTTCCTATGCTGAACTTAGATTCAGTAGTATGGGAGTTTTGTAACTTTTGTGGAGGATCTGCTGATGGTCCCTACTTAGTGTCGTTATATTATCTCCTTGATCCTGATTGTGTCACAGTCGCTTGTTATATGGCTATTGGGCTTAGCATTCTTTTCATTGTTGAAGCAGACTGTTATGGTTGCCAGTCGGTCAAGAAGTTAGTTTATTAGAGGACTTTGTCAGTCACTTGTTTAAGTCTAGTCGAGTCGTGAGACATAGCGAACTACTTAGAGCACTTACACGCATACACAAACTTACTTGTACATATTTGTAATATCTTATTAAATGTTAATGTACCAGACGGTACTTAAGAATTATAAATGTGATATGTGCTTTCAGCACAATAATATTGAACTCGAGAGATTGATATTATTTTCATTACTGTGATTAATTTAATTTAATTTGATAATATACCTCTAGACTTAATAAATTTATTAAATTTTAATTTCTCTAGTTAGTAGCCTACCAGTTGTAATCCTGAAGCACTATTGAATAATACTCAATTTTAACGGATAATTGGACAAGGATACTGACTACTTGTTACGAAAACCCAGTAACAGGCTGGATGCTAGAAGGGCAGTCCTTTCTAGTATTCACTGGAGATCTCTAAGCTTTTAGAATCGCGTTTTTTGTAACACCTGGCAAGCTGTGTTGTCTACCCTGGCAAGCTGTGTTGTCTACCCTGGCAAGCTGTGTCGACACCTAGCTCTGAGGTGGGTACCTCAGCCTCACAAGTTGTCTACCCTGGCAAGCTGTGTTGTCTACCCTGGCAAGCTGTGTCGACACCGAGCTCTGAGGTAGGTACCTCAGCCTCACAAGTTGTCTACCCTGGCAAGCTGTGTCGACACCGAGCTCTGAGGTAGGTACCTCAGCCTCACAAGTTGTCTACCCTGGCAAGCTGTGTTGTCTACCCTGGCAAGCTGTGTCGACACCGAGCTCTGAGGTAGGTACCTCAGCCTCACAAGTTGTCTACCCTGGCAAGCTGTGTTGTCTACCCTGGCAAGCTGTGTCGACACCTAGCTCTGAGGTGGGTACCTCAGCCTCACAAGTTGTCTACCCTGGCAAGCTGTGTTGTCTACCCTGGCAAGCTGTGTCAACACCGAGCTCTGAGGTAGGTACCTCAGCCTCACAAGTTGTCTACCCTGGCAAGCTGTGTCGACACCGAGCTCTGAGGTAGGTACCTCAGCCTCGCAAGTTGTCTACCCTGGCAAGCTGTGTTGTCTACCCTGGCAAGCTGTGTCGACACCAAGCTCTGAGGTAGGTACCTCAGCCTCACAAGTTGTCTACCCTGGAAAGCTGTGTTGTCTACCCTGGCAAGCTGTGTCGACACCGAGCTCTGAGGTGGGTACCTCAGCCTCACAAGTTGTCTACCCTGGCAAGCTGTGTCGACACCGAGCTCTGAGGTGGGTACCTCAGCCTCACAAGTTGTCTACCCTGGCAAGCTGTGTCGACACCGAGCTCTGAGGTCGGTACCTCAGCCTCCCAAGTTGTCTACCTTGGCAAGCTGTGTCGACACCGAGCTCTGAGGTGGGTACCTCAGCCTCACAAGTTGTCTACCCTGGCAAGCTGTGTCGACACCGAGCTCTGAGGTGGGTACCTCAGCCTCACAAGTTGTCTACCCTAGCAAGCTGTGTCGACACCTAGCTCTGAGGTGGGTACCTCAGCCTCACAAGTTGTCTACCCTGGCAAGCTGTGTCGACACCGAGCTCTGAGGTGGGTACCTCAGCCTCACAAGTTGTCTACCCTGGCAAGCTGTGTCGACACCGAGCTCTGAGGTGGGTACCTCAGCCTCACAAGTTGTCTACCCTGGCAGCTGTGTCGACACCTAGCTCTGAGGTGGGTACCTCAGCCTCACAAGTTGTCTACCCTGGCAAGCTGTGTCGACACCGAGCTCTGAGGTGGGTACCTCAGCCTCACAAGTTGTCTACCCTGGCAAACTGTGTCGACACCGAGCTCTGAGGTGGGTACCTCAGCCTCACAAGTTGTCTACCCTGGCAAGCTGTGTTGTCTACCCTGGCAAGCTGTGTCGACACCGAGCTCTGAGGTAGGTACCTCAGCCTCACAAGTTGTCTACCCTGGCAAGCTGTGTCGACACCGAGCTCTGAGGTGGGTACCTCAGCCTCACAAGTTGTCTACCATGGCAAGCTGTGTCGACACCTAGCTCTGAGGTGGGTACCTCAGACCTCAGCCTCACACGTTGTCTACCCTGGCAAGCTGTGTCGACACCGAGCTCTGAGGTGGGTACCTCAGCCTCACAAGTTGTCTACCCTGGCAAGCTGTGTCGACACCGAGCTCTGAGGTCGGTACCTCAGCCTCCCACGTGGCTTATAAGACAGATTTCCATAAATGACTGATGTTGCAAGAAAATCTCGCCTGCATGCATGTATAAACGACTAACTGTTTATAAATTCAAGTCTCTTTTCAAAGATCACTTACTCACTCAAAACCAAATAAATACTGAATAACTGAACCTTATAAACTGTATATCCTATATGTTACTCACAATTATATCACACAAATGTTAAACCTAGGACCCAATCTAACTTTATTATTTTTTTAAATACACTACCTAACAGAATACTCCATTCGACTGAATGTACAGCAATGCAAGCAACCATATGACCTGTCTTTGTAATACTCATTTGTGCTTTATAGTTATCTGTTTACAATAATGTTTTATCACTGATTTCATCATTGCTTAGTTAATCTTAAGTTAATTTTAAGCCAGCCCGTAATGCTATGCATATAAGTGGCTTTGGCATGCTGCTCTTACCTGTATTTGTTGTACCTCTGTTTGTATGCTTAAATTACTAAATAAATAAATAAATAAATATTATTTAAAAAAAAAAAACTTACTCGGTGTTGGAGAATCTATTCTGGTCTTCAACCTGCCTAAGCTTAGCCCCTCTGGACTTGCCCTTAGAACCAAGTGCAACCGAGAGCCTTAATTCCTGCAATATTCCTGGAGTTTACCTGGAGAGAGTTCCGGGGGTAAACACGCCCGGGGCCCTGGTCTGTGACCGGGCCCCTCCGGTGGATCAGAGCCTGATCAACCAGGCGTTATGCTGGCCCTGCACGCAAACCAACGTACGAGCCACCCCCGGCTGGGTCAGGAAACCCGACTTTAGGTGCTTGTCCAGTGCCAGCTGAAGACTGCCAGGGGTCTGTTGGTAATCCCCCTTATGTATGCTGGGAGGCAGTTGAACAGTCTCGGGCCCCTGACACTTATTGTATGGTTCTTAACGTGCTAGTGACCCCCCTGCTTTTCATTGGGGGATGTTGCATTGTCTGCCAAGTCTTTGCTTTCGTAGTGAGTGAGTTTCGTGTGCAAGTTCGGTACTAGTCCCTCTAGGATTTTCCAGGTGTAATAATCATGTATCTCTCCCCCCTGCATTCCGGGGAATACAGTTTTAGGAACCTCAAGCGCCCCCAGTAATTGAGGTGTTTTATCTCCGTTTGGCGCACCGTAAAGGGTTTCTCTGTACATTTTCTAGGTCAGCAATTTCACCTGCTTGAAAGGTGCTGTTAGTGTGCAGCAATATTCCAGCCTAGATAGAACAAGTGACCTGAAGAGTGTCATCATGGGCTTGGCCTCCCTAGTTTTGAAGGTTCTCATTATCCATTTTTCTAGCAGATGCTATTGATACAATGTTATGGTCCTTGAAGGTGAGATCCTCCGACATGATCACTCCCAGGTCTTTGACGTTGGTGTTTCGCTCTATTTTGTGGCCAGAATTTGTTTTGTACTCTGATGAAGATTTAATTTCCTCGTGTTTACCATATCTGAGTAATTGAAATTTTTCATCGTTGAACTTCATATTGTTTTCTGCAGCCCACTGAAAGATTTGGTTGATGTCCACCTATTCAGTTGGTATTAGTGACCTGCACCTCAGAAATTCCTGTTTCCACAGTGGGTGTGAATCCCCTAGACTACTATGCAGAGAGTGACACTAGCTTCTAGGCTGACAATATTATTATTATAATCAAGGGGAAGCGCTAAACCCGGAGGATTATACAGCGCCTGGGGGGGATGTGGAAGGCATCTAGGCTTAATTCGGGGAACTGGAGCACAGATCCAATTCCCTAAATCAAGAACCCCTCACCAACATCAATAGGCTGACAAGAGGCGCTGGTACGTACTGGTCATGAACTGCCGCCTGCACAAGGCCCACAGCTCAACTCTCAAATTCCCCCCAGAGACTGGCCAGAACTGCGTGAGAAAGGGAGGTCTTGTCTTACTGTATGGTCCTGACGGAGGAGGTCATCTACGGTACGTCGAGGTGCCTCCACCAGATTTCCCCAGGTCTAGTATGTGAAGACACATGGTGGCACCGCCTGCTGATCACGGCACTTGTTGCTCAGACGGTGTCTGGTCTTAGAAGAAAGGGCACTGTGGTCTCAGACCGTTGCACCAGTATTCAAACTTGGGCTGTCAGTTCTCCCTGGCTAACATAACCTAGTGTTTGCCTACATTATCGGCCTATTACTACCTACGTTAAAGTCTTAGGTCTACATTATTATTATCTACATTTGCCTTAATAGTCCTAATATTAGTGTACTAACAGTATAAACTACCTACCTCTTCCTTGAAGGGTAAATCTATCAATTAAGAAGTACCTCCCAACCACCTTCGCCAACCCGGGTGTGTGTGTGTTTTGGGTGCAGTCAGGCAATTTTCCGCGCGCTCTAAAAAAAAATCGAAAAATTATTGAAATCGAGTTATTTATACCAAAAAATAGCTTAACTCTTTGGCAACACGATGGTACCAGAATGAATGTTCTATGATGTTTCTACAAGAAATTATAGTCATTTATATCAGGTATGGTGACGGCGTTGTGGGTAGCGAGTCTGCTCACAGCCCATATATTTTTTGGAATTTTTTCCTTGTTTTTTTATCTCTATCACAAAGCTAACAGAGGGAAAATTCTTAGGAATCCACCTCGATAATAGACTCAAATTTCATACACATGTACAACAAATTTCTAAGAAAATTTCCAAGACTGTAGGCATACTATCGAAGATACGGTACTATGTTCCACAGTCAGCCCTCCTGGCCCTTTATCACTCTCTTATTTACCCCTATCTCACCTATGGAATTTGTGCATGGGGCTCAACAACAATTAACCATCTCAGACCACTAATTACCCAACAAAAGGCTGCAGTTAGAATGATAACAAATTCTCACTACAGGCAACACACTCCACCAATATTCAAAACACTCAACCTACTCACCATACAAAACATCCATACTTATTACTGCACCAATTACATACATAGAACACTTAACTCTGATATTAACCTTCCCCTCAAACATCTCCTTGCCAACCTCAACAGAACACATGACCATAACACAAGGCACAGATCACTCATTGATGTTCCTCGTGTCCATCTCACGCTATGCAAAAACTCAATGCACATAAAAGGCCCTAAAATCTGGAATTCATTACCTGTAAATATAAAAGAAACACTACCTGTTTACAAATTCAAGTCTCTTCTCAAAGTTCACTTACTCACTCAAAACCAAATAAATACTGAATAACTGAACCTTATAAAAAATCTGTGGGAACAAATTCGTTCGGTAACGGCACTCGAACAGCCTTCTGGAACGAAGAAAATTCAAAACTTGGGGTACCACTGTATTTACTCAATTTTATCCATAGTGGTGGTGGGTGGTATGGGGAGGGAGGCTTAATCCTCATCACTGGTGACGGGTAAAGGTGAGTCTGGGTCCTGATCGTGAAGCAACTTGGTCATTATTATCACATTAGGTGAGGGGGGGGGGGAGTTTACCTGGAGGGAGTTCCAGGGTTCAACGCCCCTGCTGCCTGGTCTGTGACCAGGCCTCGTGGTGGATCTGGCCCTGATCAACCAGGCTGTTACTGCTGGGCTCACGCAATCCAACATACGAACCACAGCCCATCTGGTCAGGTGCTGACTTTAGGTGCTTGTCCAGTGCCTGCTTGAAGACAGCCAGGGGTCTATTGGCAATCCCCCTTATGTATGCTGGGAGGCAGCTGAACAGTGTTGGGCCCCTAACACTTATTGTGTTGTCTCTTAACGTGCTAGTGGCACTCCTGCTTTTTATTGGGGGATGGTGCATTATCTGCCGAGTATATTGCTTTCGTAGGGAGTGATTTTAGTGCGCAAATTTGGTACTGATCCCTCTGGGATTTTCCAAGTGTATATAATCATGTATCTCTCCTGCCTGCATTCTAGGGAGTACAGGTTTAGGAACTTTAAGTGTTCCCAGTATTTGAGGTGTTTTATCTCAGTTATGCACACCGTGAAGGTTCTCTGTACATTTTCTAGGTCAGCAATTTCACCTGCCTTGAAAGGTGCTGTTAGTGTGCAGCAATATCCAGCCTAGATAGAACTAGTGACCTGAAGAGTGTCATCATGGGCTTGGCATCCCTGGTTTTGAAGATTCTCATTATCCATCTTGTCATTTTTCTAGCAAATGCGATTGATACAATGTTATGGTCCTTGAAGGTGAGATCTTCTGACACAATCACTCCCAGGTCTTTGACATTAGTTTTTCGCTCTATTGTGTGGTATGAATTTGTTTTGTACTCCAATGAAATTTTAATTTCCTCACATTTACCACATCAGAGTAGTTGAAATTTCTCGTCATTGAACTTCATATTGTTTTCTGCAGCCTATTTAAAGATTTGGTTGATGTCTGCCTGGAGTCTTGCAGTGTCTTCAATGGAGGACACTGTCATGCAGATTTGGGTGTCATCTGCAAAGGAAGACACGGCACTGTGGCTTATATCCCTGTCTGTGTCTGAAATGAGGATGAGGAACAAGATGGGAGTATTGTGCCTTGTGGTACAGAGCTTTTCACCGTAGTTGCCTCAGACTTTATTCTGTTTACTACTCTTTGTGTTCTGTTTGTCAGGAAATTATAGATCCATCTACCAACTTTTCTTGTTATTCCTTTATCACGCATTTTGTGTGCTATCACAACATGGTCACACTTGTTGAAGGCTTTTGCAAAGTCTGTGTATATTACATCTGCATTCTGTTTGTCTTCTAGAGCATCCAGGACCTTGTCATAGTGGTCCAGTAGTTGGGAGAGACAGGAGCGACCTGTTCTAAACCCATGCTGCCCTGGGTTGTGTAACTGATTGATATCTAGATGGGTGGCAGTCTTGCTTCTTAGAACCCTTTCAAAGATTTTTATGATATGGCATGTTAGCGATATTGGTCGGTAGTTCTTTGCTATTGCTTTACTGCCCCCTTTGTGGAGTGGGGCTATGTCTGTTGTTTTTAGTAACTGTGGGACGACCCCCGTGTCCATGCTTCTTCTCCATAGGATGTTAAAAGCACGTGATAGGGGCTTCTTGCAGTTCTCAATGAACACAAAGTTCTATGAGTCTGGGGTGGGAGTATTGCAAGAAATTCCTGAGAGGTCTGGTTTTGGTGCAGGTTGGAGCAGAGTGATAGGTGGTGTTGGTGGTGATGTTGGTGGTGGTGTTGGTGGTGGTGTTGCTGGTGCTGCAACTGCTCCAACATTTGTTGTTGTTCATAGTTTTTTTCCTCTGTATAATTTCCTGCAACAGCTGTATCCACTAATTATTATCCTGTTTGCATCTGAACTTCTCTTTGTGGAATTTTTTTGGTGAAAATGGTCATAGCTCTTTTTAACAACCATAAAGCCTCAGACAAATCTTTAGTTGTTATTATTATTATTATTATAATCAAGGGGGAAGCGCTAAACCTGGAGGATTATACAGCGCCTGGGGGGGGGGATGTGGAAGGCATTCAGGCTTAATTCGGGGAACTGGAGCACAGATCCAATTCCCTAAATCAAGAGCCCCTCGCCAACATCAAGGAACCTTCCTTGAGGGGATCTTTAGTTGTTAAGATTTGTTGTGGTTGTGCATCCTCAGTTTCATCATCCTCCTCTTCAGCATGTTGTTGTTCCATCTCCATGAGCTCCTCTTCAGCATGTTGTTGTTCCGTCTCCATGAGCTCCTCTTCAGCATGTTGTTGTTCCATCTCCATGAGCTCCTCTTCAGCATGTTATTGTTCCATCTCCATGAGCTCCTCTTCAGCATGTTGTTGTTCTATCTCCATGAGCTCCTCTTCAGCATGTTATTGTTCCATCTCCATGAGCTCCTCTTCAGCATGTTATTGTTCCATCTCCATGAGCTCCTCTTCAGCATGTTATTGTTCCATCTCCATGAGCTCCTCTTCAGCATGTTGTTGTTCTATCTCCATGAGCTCCTCTTCAGCATGTTGTTGTTCTATCTCCATGAGCTCCTCTTCAGCATGTTATTGTTCCATCTCCATGAGCTCCTCTTCAGCATGTTATTGTTCCATCTCCATGAGCTCCTCTTCAGCATGTTGTTGTTCCATCTCCATGAGCTCCTCTTCAGCATGTTGTTGTTCCATCTCCATGAGCTCCTCATTAGATAATTCTTCACCATGTGATTCAAGTAATTCCACTACATCTTCATTTATTTCATTAAATCCAGCCTGGTGTGCCAGCCCAATAATCTCCTGATGAATTTTTCGTAATATGCTGCTCAAAACCTGGGAAATCTGCGATACATTCTGGATAGATTTTATGCCAGACAAGATTCATTTTGGTTGTTCTCACTTCTTGCCATGCCACTACCAAATTGTTAATAACATTCACAATATGGTAACCACACCAAAATTACCTTACAGTGGGTTTAGTTTCACCATCTATGAGCTTAATCATTTGCTTAAAGGTGCACTGTAAATAGTAGGTTTTGAATGTTGCTATAACACCCTGGTTGTATTTGGAGGCAGTAAAGTTACTTGAACATTATCTGTGATGTCATTCAGGTTAGGTGGGTGACCTGGAACATTGTCCAGAAGAGGTCAAGCTTCATTTTCAAGGTTCTTAGCCCAACAATATTCTTTGATGGCAAACTCCACACAGTGGCCCTGGCTGGGAATCAATTTTTTTTTCTCATCAGTATTATAACGAAACAACATTATTCGAGGACCTACTGTATAATGTTTAGTACATCATTTATAATACATGATTATGAAATAATTTGGCAGATTTCTAAAATACGTATAATTAACAAAATTTTATCATTTATAGATTAATGTAAATAAATAAGTATAATTTATAATTTTCTTTCGTTTTTCTTTTTGGGCCACCCTGCCTTGGTGGGATACGGCCGGTTTGTTAAAAAAAAAAATTATAATTTTATAATTTTTTGAATGTGTTTCCTTCTTTGAGTCACCCTGTCTTAGCAGATGTCTGTTTAAGTAAAAAAAAAAAACTTGTTTAACATAAAAAATCTTATTTATATCTAACAATAACAACCCACAAAAAATTGTTAGATGTGAGGAAAAATAATTACTGTTGAAATTTTAGGGAATTTATAGTTAATGTTTTCTCATTAAATTTCTAGTACGTATACAGAAAGTAGCTCAACTTCTTCAACAAGACTGATGAAGGTGAATGACCCCAGGCTCAAGGAAGATACTGTATCCTGATACTGATAAAGAACTCCTGATGCAAGGAATTAGACTTGTCCTCCCCTTCCTTACCTCCTATTTTCCAGGCACTGCTATGACCCCTGTGGGTGTGGCACTTTCCATTACATATAATAGTAATCCCAGCTCTGATGAAGCCAAAGGTAGTGCAGACTGTTAGATCGGACCAAATGTCCTGTTGAGGAAGTATATACACTGGTGTCAAACATTATCATAATCCTGCCCACACAGCAACACTGCCACCACTCATTATGAAATGAATGAAGAGCTGTGTTTGATTGTCTGTGGAACTGTATCCTGTACCATGCAATTCAAGGATGCCAAAAATGCTTTCAAAGGGCTGCCAGAAATGAATGCTGCCAATGAGTTGCCAGGAATGAATGCTGTCAAAGAGTTGTGAGGAATGGATGCATTCCAAGAGACACTGAGGTCATTCCAAATTGCACCTACAGAATCTAGCATAGAATGTAGTAGAATAAGAAAAATGACCTTTTAAAAATTATTCATTGACACCCATAGAAAAAAATTCAGGGAGATCTTGGACTGCTTGTCACCTATTCTTACCATAGGACACCATATTTGTGTATGAGACTTCTCATGGATGCAGTGCTTCCCAACAAGGCAGGCAATTATTATGCAGCCAGCATCCTAAGCAGAGCTAACATCTATAGCATTGCTGCAGTGTTCTCACGAGTTGAGAAGTTTTGGGATTGGTGGTGACAGGGCAGCTGGGATGGTCATACTTGTGATGGTGAAGCTAGTTGTTTTGCTGATGACTTGAGAAAGAGGGGGAAGGTGTTAAGGAATTTAAGAGGGGTTGGTAGTTGTGAAAGGGGTTGTAGAAGGGGATAGGGGATTTAAGAAGGGTTGGTAGATATGAAAAGGGTTGAAGTTGAGATTATTTGGTGGGTGAGGGGGTTGAGTGTATATATAGCATCGCAGGTTTGTTTGTGTCTATAGCTCAACATGTCTACTTTCTATGCTAAAATCCATACCCTTATGTTCCTGCCCTCTGACTTTCAGGATGTGGGGGTGAAGAGTATTTGCACTTCCTGGTTTTACCCAACACATCCTTCTCTCTCTGTAGTTCATGTAAAAGAGAAATAGGTTTTCTTTTTTCAGTGTTTTTTTGCCAATCAGTTGTAAATATGATGTTGCAAATCTTCCTTAAAATGCCATTCAAATCAGTATGTAGTACAGTATTTTACTCTGGTTGGGTCTTCAATGAATACAGAAGTAAAGGTTTTTAATAATGGAAACAAGATATTAAACAATCCTGGAAAAATAGTTAAAGATGTTTTGGTTTCAGGTGTTGGAAGCAGCTAGTCATAAAAACTTGGCTAGTGAACATGAAAAAAAGGAAACTCGAGTAACACCAGAAAACTTAAAGAAAAATGTTCAGCAATTTGTATCAGACATTGATGCCTTTACAGAAAATGCTGGTTTATTGCAGGTAAATGAGATCAGTGTTGTACTAGTATAGTATATGATTGAAACTGTTGCTAGTAAATGCCAGGATATCATGTATTGTACAAATACATGATAATGCCAGGATATCATACATTGTACAAAGTCAGAAATCATGCTTTGTGATATACAGTGAACCCCCGACTAACGATGTTAATCCGTTCCAAAGAGCTCGTCGCAAGACAAAATTATCGTAAGTCGAATTAATTTTCCCCATAAGAAATAATGGAAATCCAATTAATCCATCCCAGACACCCAAAAGTATGAAAAACAAATTTTTAACACATGAAATGTACATTTTCCTACACAAAAAGGATACATGCACAATATATATTGTGTACTACTAAATGAATAATACTAAATACTAAATGAAGAATAAATGACACTTACCTTTATTGAAGCTGTAGTGATGTGTGATGAGATGGGAGAAGGGGAGATGGAAGTGTATTAATTTTTGGAAGGGGAATCCCCTTCTATAAGGACTTAGGTAACAAGTTCTTTTCCAGGGTTACTTCCCTTCTTTGTTTTTTAATGCCACTGGGAACAACTTGAGAGTCACTGGACCTCTGTCGCACCGAAAATCTGACCATAGAGCTCTGTACCTCATGTTCTTTTAAGGTTTTCCTAAAGTGGTTCACAACATCGTCATTGTAAAAGTCACCAGCACGGCTTGCAATAATTGTGTCAGGGTGATTTTCTTCCATAAAGGTTTGTACATCAACCCACTTTGCACAGATTTCCTTAATCTTTGAAGAAGGCAACTTCCTCCATTTCTCTCTCCCCTCCTCTGAAGCAGTTTCCTCAGTTGTGGCCTCTTGCTGTTGCAGATGCTCTTGCAGCAGCTCATCAGTGGTTAGTTCTTCACTGTCATCATCCGCCAACTCTTCCACATCCTCCCCACTAACCTCTAACCCTAAGGACTTCCCGAATGCCACAATAGATTCCACAACTGGCATAGGCTCCTGAGGGTTAGCCCCAGACCCTTCAAAATCCCTCTCTTGTACACATTCTGGCCACAGTTTCCTCGAAGCAGAGTTCAAGGTTCTCTTAGTCACTCCCTCCCAAGCCTTACTTATAAGGTTATGCAACTGAGGATACTAAAGTGATCTTTCCAAAACTCTCTTAGGGTCAGTTGAGTGTCTGAGGTCACTTCAAAGCACTTTTGAAACATTCCTTTGGTATACAGTTTCTTAAAATTTGAAATGATCTGCTGGTCCATGGGCTGGAGGAGAGGAGTGGTATTAGGAGGCAAAAACTTCACTTTTATGATGCTCAGCTCCCCCGAAATTTGCTCTGCCAAGTCTGAAGGATGACCAGGAGCACTGTCAAATACCAGGAGGCACTTAAGTTCCAATTTATTTTCCAGGAGATAATTTTTCAAAGTGGGGCCAAATGCATGGTAAAACCAGTCATAGAAAAAGTCCCTAGTGACCCATGCCTTACTGGTTTTCCCTCCACATCACACACAAATTAACCTTGATGACATTGTTTTTCCTGAACACTCTAGGAGTTTCAGAGGGATACATGAGTAGAGGCTTCACTCTGCAATCCCCACTAGCATTACTACACAACATTAAAGTTAGCCTGTCTTTCATTGGCTTGTGTCCTGGCAGTGCTTTTTCCTCATGTGTAATGTAGTCCTGTTGGGCATTTTCTTCCAAAACAGGCCTGTTTTGTCACAACTAAACACTTGTTGGGGTTTCAATCCTTCAGCCTCTATGTACTTCTGGAATTCCTGCACATATTTTTCAGCCGCTTTTTGGTCCAAACTGGCAGCCTCACCATGCCTTATCACACTATGTATGCCACTACGATTCTTAAATCTCTCAAACCAACCTTTGCTGGCCTTAGATTCACTCACATCACCACTAGTTGCAGGCATTTTTTTAATTAAATCGTCATTCAACTGCCTTGCCTTTTCACATATGATCGCTTGAGAGATGCTATCTCCTGATATTTGTTTTTCGTTTATCCTCACCAATAACAGTCTCTCAATATCTTCGAGCACTTGTGATCTGTGTTTCGTAAAGATACTTGTACCTTTCACAACAACAGCTTCCTTGATTGCCTTTTTGTTGGCCAGGATAGCAGCGATGGTTGATTGTGGTTTGTTGTACAACCTAATTTTCACCCTTTTTACACAGGATTGGCACTGGAAGATTTCTTTAGGCCCATGGTGGCTTATTTAGCGGTTACAAGCACTAAAAACACTGGAATAATATAAAATGTACCATGGTCCTGACCACACTGGCTTGTAAACATTGGCACACTAACTGAAGACAGGCCAGCTGAGGCACGCTCAGGCCAGATGGACGCGTGGACACGTATGGGACGAATGATATAAGCCAAGTTTTTCATCGTAGGTCGGGGTAAAATTTTTACACTGAAAAGCATTCATAAGTTGATTTTATCGTAAGATGAGGCTTTCGTAAGTCGAGGGTCCACTGTATTGAGTTTTATGTTCATACATTTGCTCGTGTGGCACTTTTTGATTGTGTGATTCAAAATTAAGATTCAAAATTTATTTCCACATGATACAGTGGACCCCCGGTTAACGATTTTAATCCGTGCAAGAGGGGTAATTGTTATGCGAAATAATCGCTATGTGAATGAATTTTCCCCATAAGAAATAATGGAAATCAAATTAATCCGTGCAAGACACCCAAAAGTATGAAAAAAAAAATTTTACCACATGAAATATACAGTGGACCCCCGCATAACGATGGCATCGCATAGCGATTTTTCCGCATAACGATTACTTTTATCGCAAAATTTTTGCCCCGCATACCGATTAAAAACCCGCGTACCGATTTTCGTCCGAGACGCGTCCAATGTGCCCTCAGCCAGCCTCACATGTGCCGCTCCGTCCCATTGTTTACCAGCCAGCCTCCGCGGTAACATCCAAGCATACACTCGGAATATTTCGTATTATTACAGTATTTTCGGTGCTGTTTCTGGAAAATAAGTGACCATGGGCCCCAAGAAAGCTTCTAGTGCCAACCCTGTGGTAAAAAGGGTGAGAATTAGTATGGAAATTAAGAAAGATTTTGAAGGGTTTGGGGCTAACCCTGAGAAGCCTATGCCAGTTGTGGAATCCATTGTGCCTACTTCAAAGATTAAGGAAATGTGTGCAGAGTGGGTTGAACTGCAAACCTTTATAGATGAAAATCACCCTGACACAGCTGTTGCAAGCCGTGCTTGTGACTATTTCAATGACAATGTTATGGCCCATTTTAGGAAAGTCTTGAAGGAACGGGAGGTACAGAGCTCTATGGACAGATTTGTTGTGCGACAGAGGTCCAGTGACTCTCAAGCTGGTCCTAGTGGCATTAAAAGAAGAAGGGAAGTAACCCCGGAAAAGGACTTGCTACCTCAAGTCCTAATGGAAGGGGATTCCCCTTCTAAACAATAAGTTCGACACTCTCCCCTCCTCCCATCCCATCAATCATCACCAGATCTTCAATAAAAGTAAGTGTCATGTAATTGTGCATGCCTTTTTCAGTTTGTGTGTATTAAAATTAACATTTCATGTGGTAAAAAAAAATTTTTTTCATACTTTTGGGCGTCTTGCACGGATTAATTTTATTTCCATTATTTCTTATGGGGAAAATTCATTCGCATAACGATTATTTCGCATAACGATGAGCCCTCTTGCACGGATTAAAATCGTTAACCGGGGGTCCACTGTACATTTTCCCACACACAAAGAGAAGGATACATGCACAATAGTAGAGTAGTACATGCACAGTATATATTGTGCATGTACTAGTCTACTAAATGAAGAATAAATGACACTTACCTTTATTGAAGATGCAGCAATGACTGATGAGACACTGTGTCCTGGGAGTGCCTTTTCCTCCTGAGTACTGTAGGTCCTGTTTGGCATTTTCTTCCAGAACAGGCCTTATCACACTGTGTATGCCACTACGATTCTTAAATCTCTCAAACCAACCTTTGCTGGCTTTAAATTCACCAATATGAGCACTAGTTCCAGGCATTTTTCCCTGTTCACCTGGGTGTTAGTCGACAGGTGTGGGTTGCATCCTGGGAGACAAGATTAAGGACCCCAATGGAAATAAGTTAGACAGTCTTCGATGACACTGACTTTTTTGGGTTATCCTGGGTGGCAAATCCTCTGGGGTTACTTGTTTCTTGGTATTCTCAATAAGCCACACCAAAAACGGTGCTACAGCAGCAGCAGCAGCTGACAGTGCAGCAGCAGCAGCAGCTGTACCACCAATAGTAGCGATGGTTGATTGGGGTTTATTATACAACCTGGCCAGCTCGGAGACATGCACTCCACTTTCATACTTATCAATGATCTTTTTCTTCATCTCTATTGTAATTCTCACCCTTATTGCTGTAGGGTTGGCACTAGAAGCTTTCTTGGGGCCCATGGTCACTTATTTTCCAGAAAAAGCACCGAAAACACTGTAATAATACGAAATATTCCGATTGTATGCTTGGATGTTACCGCGGAGGCTGGCTGGTAAACAATGCCACCGGCGGAACATGTGAGCGTGGCTCAGGCCGCACATTGGACGCGTCTCGGACGAAAATCGGTAAGCGGGTTTTTAAGCGGCATGTGAGGCATAATTTTTGCAATTAAAGTAAGCGGTATGCGAAATAATCGCTATGTGATGCCATCGTTATGCGGGGGTCCACTGTACATTGTTTGTACAGAAATGGGCGACACTTGATAATGCATGTAGAAAGCCCGTGGTTATGCAGAGCATTTTGGCCAAGCTTAAGTCTAACTTAAGACTACAAAGGCAATAAACAGTGATTGTGTGTGAATGAGGTGAAAGTGTTGAATGATGATGAAAGTATTTTTTGGGGAGGATTTTCTTTCTCTTTTGGGTCACCCTGCCTCAGTGGGAGACGGCCGACTTGTTGAAAAAAAAATATATATACTATATATATATACTATAAGGACATTAAATGTATACTCAATAAAATTGATTCAGTGATGGTACTGTACTAGTATTTTATGATGTTTTTGAGTGAAATGAAGATAGAATCAAAGAACAATACTTAGTGTTCTCACTTACAAAATGTAGACTGCAAGATTGCATTCAAACTCTTAAGATACTGTAGTAAACAAAATTAACATACTCAAACACAAAAAAATTGTATGAAAATAATGTGATATAGAAATTATGAGGTAAGAGGTGGTGCAACACAATTGTGGGTTAAGGAATTTTTACAGAATTTTAACTGAATCCTTTAAAGCATATGCAAAGTACTATCTAATCAGGAATTAAAAAATTGGATTGTTTAAACATTTACACTTTCTGAGGGAAATGTGTTCATGTGTAAGAAAGTTTATTCAGGTATACACAAATACAATTAGACATAGATTATCATAAATAGCAGCATATGTGTAGAGAACCTCTGACTTTTTTGAGTTATCCTAAATTCTCTACACATTCTCTGCTGTGTATGATAATCTATGTAACTATTTGTGTATACCTAAACTTGCTTACACATGAAAAGATTTCCCTCGGAAAGTATAATAGCTTAAACAATTCAGTTTTTTAATTCCTGATTGGATAGTATTTTGCATACGCTCCAGAGGATTCAGGTACACAGTGCATGTGTGGACCTGGTTACTAGAACATTGACATTAGTTTATGAACATTCTCCCAACTCCTACTTTAACTATGCAGTCTGGGCTTTCTTCACCTTTCAAGGTGATTGTGGGCAGAGGGAGAGGGGAGTAAGGGAAGAAAACTTTCTGCTATCCTAACCCTGCTGTTACTGTCTGATGTCATCTATGAGGTCTTCTACTACTGTATTTGAATTTTGGCTGGCAGATAAATGGAAAAAATCACATTAGGCTGATGTCTACAAAGGCAATAGGGAGGATCCCCTGAACTACACACTTGTTTTACTGATAAACAATGTTGTGAAATTACTGGAAATAGTCAGTAGAAAAAAGTAGATGCTATTCCTATATTAATTTACCTCCAGCTCCCCAACAATAATTTTGTATATAATTTCTTACTCTTCTGCACTGGCACTATGAACAATGTGTACAGCATGTATAACTTGTGGTTAAAGATAGATCAATAAATAAATATATAAATAAATAATAATACTCTCCATGGGGAAGTAGAACAGAATTCTTCCTCTGTAAGCATTGCGTGTCAAGAGGTGACTAAAATGTCAGGAGCAAGGGGCCAGTAACCCCTTCTCCTGTATATATTACTAAATTTATAAGGAAAAACTTTTGTTTTTCCTTTTGGGCCACCCCACCTCAGTGGGATATGGCTGGTATGTTGAAAAAAAAAAAAAAAAGAAACACGCGGGATACCAGGCATATCTTGCTACTTCTACTTATACTTAGGTCACACTACACATGCATGTACATGCATTATATATATACATGCCCCTCTGGGTTTTCTTCTGTTTTCTTACTAGTTCTTGTTCTTCCTTATTTCTTCTTATCTCCATGGGAAAGTGGAACAGAATTCTTCCTCCATAAGCCATGTGTGTGTCTTAAGAGGCAACTAAAATGCTAGGAGCAAGGGGCTAGTAACCCTTTCTGTATAAATTACTAAATTTAAAAAGGAAAACTTTCATATTTCTTTTTTAGGTCAGCCTCCCTTGGTGGGATACGGCCAGTTTGTTGGAAAAAAAACTCTTTGTTTCTTCCTTTTCGGGGCACCCTGCCTTGGTGGGAGATGGCTGTTGTGCCCGGCCTTGGTGGGATAAAGCCGATTTGTTGAAAGATGTTTCTTTCATCATCTTGTACAATCCTTGGTTGTGTCTTGATGGGCTAATGTGACCAGCCACTTATCATTGAACTTAAGATGCAGATTGGTTTGAAGTGTGCATGGTATCTACAGTGAAAGATTTTTCAAAATATTGTAAATTGCAGCAAGGACTGGGTGTGGTGGAGACTCTCTGTGATCCCCGGTATGTTCATCTTGATCAACTGTTGAGCTTGGAGAAACGTCTCTTACAGTCTATTGGAGACCCAGAGGAAACACTTCCATTTACACAGGTAAGCATTGTAATTAGTGGTGGCTCATCCATAGGAGCTGCAGAGCTGCACTAACCCCAGATGCTCACTGCCAGACGTATGACTTCATCAACCTTGCACTAAAATAATTTGCAACTGACAAATATATTACAGAAAAAATCTGTTGTATGTTGTTTTCAATGTATTTATAAGCGAATTTTTATTTTTTTTGTTGAAACGAGATAAAAAATTATTAAAAATAGAAGTCACGTAGTCTCCCCTGTTTATTTTTTGATGAGCCACCACTGATTGTAATAGTTTATATCTCCCATAACCAATGATGAGGCTGTTTACCTGGACCTGGAGTTTACCTGGAGAGAGTTCCGGGGGTCAACGCCCCCGCGGCCCGGTCTGTGACCAGGCCTCCTGGTGGATTAGAGCCTGATCAACCAGGCTGTGTCCACATAGTAACCCTTCCACTTATGCTGAATATGGTATAAAATATTGACAAGTTAATCAGTTAGGTCTCTATTTTTGAAATATTTCTCGTACACTTTAGCCACAGATTCTGTATCCACGAGTTCAGTTATACACGGTTTACTGTGGCCCAAAAATAGCTCTTAATTTTGTTTGATAATGGCTCCAAAGCACAACGTAGTGATGGCAGCAGTTGTTCAAAGCCTATGAGAAGCTGTGAAATGCCTCCCATCAGTGAAAAAGTGCCAATTCTAGACTTATTTTGCATAATTTATCAATTAAACTTTATTGTAGGTCTCTATATAAATAAAAAATAACATGTATGGTTGGCTACTGTCCATGGTAGGTCTTGGAATGTATCCCCTGTGGACTATGTACAAGTTGAAGGCTGCACAAGTGATGAGGTAATGCAGAATATAGGCTACCTATATTCCTGGAGCGTGCGTGGGTGCATTAGATAAGAGCGAGTGGAGGCAGATGGTTTTTATGATTTGACATGCTGTTGGAGTGTGAGTAATGTATTATTTATGAAGGGATTCAGGGAAACCAGTTAGCCGGACTTGAGTCCTGGAGGTTGGAAGCACAGTGCCCAAGGAGGGGTAGAGATATGTTACAGCTTTTGAACTGTAATGTAGATGTGCCTCTGGCAAGACAGTGATGGAATGAATGATAATGAAAGTGTTTTTTTTTCTTTTTTGGGTCACCCTGCCTCAGTAAGAAACAGCTGATGTATTGATAAAAATATAAGTAAATTTTTTTTAAGATGTCGGCCGTCTCCCACTGAGGCAGGGTGACCCAAAAAGGAAAGAAACACTTTCACCATCATTCAACACTTTCACCGTCATTTACACATAATCACTGTCTTTGCAGAAGCATTCAGATACAACAGTTTAGATGTCATTCCAAACACCCAATATCCCAACCCTCTCCTTTAAAGTTTAGGCAACCACCCAGGGAGGCACTACTGTCCTGCCAAATGAGTGTAGGACAGAAACCTGTATTTGTTTTACATGATGGTAGGAGTGGTGATGTCTTTTTTCTATCTCATAAACACACAAGATAACAGGTATTTCTTGTTACTTTTACTTACAATTAGATCACACTACACGCAAATGCACACGTTTATGTATACACACTCATCTGAGTTTTCTTTGATTTTTCTTTATATGTAGTTCTTGTTCTTTTTATTTTCCTTTCATATTCATGAGAAAGTGAAATAAGAAGCTTTCCTCCATAAGCCATATATGTTGTAAAAGTCAACTAAAATGTCGGGAGCAACGGGCTAGTCACCCCTTTTCCCACCTGGAGAGACCTGGAGAGAGTTTCGGGGGTCAACGCCCCCGCGGCCCGGTCTGTGACCAGGCCTCCTGGTGGATCAGCGCCTGATCAACCAGGCTGTTGCTGCTGGCTGCACGCAAACCAACGTACGAGCCACAGCCCGGCTGATCAGGAACTGACTTTAGGTGCTTGTCCAGTGCCAGCTTGAAGACTGCCAGGGGTCTGTTGGTAATCCCCCTTATGTGTGCTGGGAGGCAGTTGAACAGTCTCGGGCCCTGACACTTATTGTATGGTCTCTTAACGTGCTAGTGACACCTGCTTTTCATTGGGGGGATGGTTTCATCGTTCTGCCAAGTCTTTTGCTTTCGTAGTGAGTGATTTTCGTGTGCAAGTTCGGTACTAGTCCCTCTAGGATTTTCCAGTGTATATAATCATGTATCTCTCCCTCCTGCGTTCCAGGGAATACAGGTTTAGAAACCTCAGCGCTCCCAGTAATTGAGTGTGTTTTATCTCCGTTATTGCGCGCTGTGAAAGTTCTCTGTTAATTTTCTAGTCTGGCAATTTCCCTGCCTTGAAAAGGTGACTGTTAGAGTGCGCAAATATCAGCTTGATAGAACAAGTGATCTTGCAGTACAGTGATGGGTTGGCTGCCAGCTTTAAAGGGTCCTAAATCAATTGATTTTTACCATTGATAAAATTTATGGTCCTTGAAGGAGATACTAACAGACAAAATATCCCAGTCTTGACTTGGTTTCCATATATTGGCCAGAAATTTGTTTGTACTTGATGACTTTATTTCATCTAAGTTTTTTTGAGTAATTGAAATTTCCATCCGTAGAGTTCAAAAAAAATAAAATCCCCACCAATAAAGATTTGGTTCGATTCCGCATTCCAGCTTCTGCAATGAAGACACTAGTTTTCATGACATTATTGACCAAGCTATCCATCAAACGTGCTGTGGCGACAACCTTGTCCTTTAATGTGCGAGAGCATTGGTACTTCATGCAGCTAGTCTGCTATATGAAAATAACCAGGTTTCTGAATCCTTTATAAGCTACGCCTTACCTCAACGTGTGAGAACGAGTTCCTGGGAGATGCACTTTATTGAAATATTTGAAATACTATCTGTCGATCCATCGACGACTGTGCGGGTAACATTTAACGCATTGAGAGCTATGCCGAGAAGGTACATTTTCAAACCTTTGCCAAAAGTTTCCAATTATTGCCAAATCATTCCAAGTAGTCACCTTACAACCACGCCATCAGGAATCAAAGTGTAGGACAGACAAGACCCCCTGCGGTAACATAAGTCCCTGGTGTAAAGTTATACGTGGGTAAACTAAGGGTGGTCATACTTTTTCGACACACTTCCAAAGTCTGAGACAAGGATGCTGCGTCACACGTTAGATTCGACAATGGCTTGATAAATTACAGAATCTGACTTACCCACCACTTAATACCGAAGAACTGGAATCTATCTCTTTTTTTTGTAACTAACCGAATATGGCTTCATACTGCCACTCCTTCCATAGAAATTAAGGCTCTCGCATAAGGAACCTTGTGAAGGTCTTGATCACAAACTACAATTCCTATAGCGGCCTAGGTTTTAGACTCTTACCGCATGGTCATTATCGCTTTCGAAGTCATTTGAGCAGTCGGATAAATTACGCTTCCTTACCAAGTTTTGTGTCTGTGATTGAAAAATAGATCCACTTGTGGGCGAAGTAGCATAAGGTCTTAAAACTGCATTTTGTTTATTTGCAGCTCGTCAGGTGCCAATTTACCATTCGTCTTCATCTATCTAACCCTCTTCCGCTTTGAGTGCCAATACCCTTGTCACAAAATTTTATCCCCATCCCTAAGATTTTCGAGGGACCTCCTTCGTTTCTTTGCTTCAGATTTTCGCTCTTCCATGATTCTATTTAGCATTCTCTTCTAAATGTCAATCCACCTACAATCCCCTCTTGCGCCTTTCTGAATATTTCTTTAACTCACAGTCTCCTTATTTTTCACACCTCCGAAAGTCGCCATAATATTTACATCACATCCTTTGCTTAGAGGAATATCCACTGCCTCCACCGTTTCCTTCGTGCATTAAACCCAAGCTTCACACCATATAAAAGTGTTGGTACACTTTGCGTTCATACATTCCCACTTTGCTCAATGATAACGTTTTCCCTTTATCTTGTTAAGTCAATTTGGTGAATGCTCCTCGTGATTAGTTCATTTTGTCGGTCTGGGGCTCCACACATACATGTTGAACCTCAATTATGTTGTGATCTGAGTATATTTTTTTTGATATGGTGACATTTCTTATCAGATCATCATTGTTAGTGAAGATGAGGTCTAGTGTATTCTCCAGTCTAGTAGGCTCTATTATTTGCTGGTTTAAATTGAATTTTGTGCAGAGATTTAAAAGCTCGTGTGAGTGTGAGTTTTCATCAGAGCTGCCTCCTGGTGTTATTACTGCAACAAATATTATTTGCTATATTCCTCCATTTTAGGTGCCTTAAGTTGAAATCCCCCAGGAGCAAGATGTTGGGTGCAGGAGCTGGAAGATTTTCCAGACAGTGGTCAATTTTTAGCTGGGATGTTGCATCCGGAGGCTTGTAGACTACCACAATGACTAGGTTTTGGTTCTCGACCTTTACTGCTAAAACTTCCACTACGTCATTTGAGGCATTTAAGCAGTTCTGTGCAAACAAGTGACTCTGCAATGTACAGGCCAACCCCCCCCTTTTGCCTGTTCACTCTGTCACATCTGTATAGGTTGTAACCTGGGATCCATATTTCGTTGTCCAAGTGATCCTTTATGTGGGTCTCAGTGAAAGCCGCGAACATTGCCTTTGCCTCTGCAAGCAGTCCACGGATGAAAGGTATTTTGTTGTTTGTTGCTGGCTTTAGACCCTGTATATTTGCAAAGAAGAATGTTATGGGAAACTGGTGGTATTGTTGGTACTGGGGGGGATTTTTTTTTCCGGCATTAGTATCTGTATCTGTTGGTTTGGAGTGGAGGCCATCGACTGTGGTTCCACTCCAGGAATGACTGGATTTTGGTGTACGATTTCTGCCTTTTCCCTGCCAGTTTTTTTTCCTTCCTGGCACTAAAAAACTCTCCCTCTTGAGTGGCTGTGGCTACCCAGGTTTTCCCATGGCCTGGATGTTTTGTATCTTTTTGTCCCCTTTAGATGGTATGCCTGGCAATTTAAGTTATAGCACAGTCTTTCCTGTACTGAAGAGGTACACATTTCAGGGTGAAAAAGCTTACAGGAAGGGAGTTTGCATTT